GGTAAATATTTACATTAATATAATAGTGAATCTCATAATAAAAATAATTTAGAACTAGATTTAAAGTTTTACTATCTTTATTGGATAGCTGGATGTCTGGGGAAGTTGCCCCTCCCCCCTTCTGCATGCCACTCTGAAAAGAAAGATCTAAAAAGACTAATAAGGAAAGACATGAAACACTTCGTTTATCAAAAGATAATTTCAAACAAAAAACAATTTTTCTATTCTTATTTATCATTATTTAATAATGGCCAAAAGATGATTGAATTGTAAGAGTTCCAATTTTTTACATCCTTTTAAATAACATAATTTTAAATGACAAAATCTCAAATAAATATTGAGATATAAAAATTATTTATCAAATAATTATTGAGATGAAAAAATAATGAGTTATAAAAATTTAGAAACTACAACAACAGAAATTATAGTTCAAATTTTGTCAATTGCAAATACATATGGAGATAAAATAAATGTGTTTATCTCATCAAAATTGCTTTTGACTGATTTAAAATTAAATAACAAAATCACATGTGCACAAATTCTTTATTTCATTAGATGCATAAATCGCTTTATTTTTTTCTGCAATTTGGTCTACAATTTGGCCTTGACAAGCTTGGAATTTGTGGTTCAAATACAATTTGTGTATTTCTACGAATAGTTTACGTTAGTTTAAATTTTATATTTAAATAAATCTTAATTTATATTAAATTTTACAAAAGCTTTAGTTGTTTTATACAACACGTATTTTCAAGGCAAGAAATTAAGAAATATTATTTGAAAGGTTTGTTGCGAGACAGTTATAAGATGTCTTTCGACGGGTGTACGAGGCGACGTCTGAACAGAAATTACAATGTTTCCAGCATTGGTGTGTGTGTGTATATATATATATAGGTTCAAAATGAAGATAAAACAAAAAAAAGGATAAAAAATATTTTAAAAAATCCGAAAAATAAAAGATATAATCTTTTCATCAGCCCACACGATTATATCCGCAAAAAGGAGTGCTTTCTGATATTGTATCAGTATAGCCAAAGCAAAATATATTAATAAAATAGTGTGAGGAGCACTCAAAATTTTTTTTTACACAAATTACAACAAATAAAATAGAACACAAAAAGTAAAAATAACACGTAGAAACAGAAAATAAAATAAAAGAAAAAGAAAAAACAGAATAAAACATAGATGAAATATAAGTTTCATCTATAAAGCGAGTAGCGAATTCAAATGTACTTACATGAATGGGAAATTTTTCAAGAATGATTTAAAAAATATTTTCGCAACAAGATTGCCAGATAGCAAAATATGAAAACAAAAGCGCAAATTGAGCGTAACTAGAGGAGTTTTGTTTTAAAGTGCCGTTCTTACTGCATTGCTGAAGTGCGTTTAATTTGTTAGTTACCAAGGATGGGCCCGAAGGGGATGTGCGCAAGGTAATATTATACTGGAAAATTTAAAGAAGTTGACCATAAATAATTTTAGAAAATAAATATTTATTTAAGTATAAAATATAAAAGAGAAACATGAATTGCTTGTTTTGCACATAATTTTAGCCACGGATTTGCCCGAAATGGATTTGCACATGGAAAAATTATATAAATTAACAAAGAAAAAATTTTTTGGTAGATAATTTTAGCCACGGATTTGCCCGAAATGGATTTGCACATGGAAAAATTTTATAAATTAACAAAGAAATTTTTAGTAAATAATTTTATCCACGGATTTGCCCGAAATGGATTTGCACATGGAAAAATTATATAAATTAACAAAGAAATTATTTAGTAAATAATTTTGGCAATGAATTTTGGCCTGAAATGGATTTGCACATGGGAAAATCATAAAAATTAACAAAAAAAATGTTTAGAAAATATATCCACCAAAATATACGATTAATTCAATGATTTTATATAAAATTTTATTACATTAGTTGGGTATCCATTGTTTTTTATCAGATTTTGAAAGAGTTTATCGATTTGTATTTTGGATAAATAAATATTACTACATATTCTTTTAATTCTATTCATTTCATTAAAAGTGGTATTTAAATAGATGCTTCTAGAAACATTAGAATTCCAAGTAATTAGTTTATTTATATTAAAATTAAAATCATTTCTTTTATCGTATAAATCAACAAAGCAGATATTATCATCTTTTATATTACCCAAATCCAAAAAATTGAAATTAATATTATCATCACGATTACGAAGCAAGATTAATTCCTCTGGGTAAATATCATTTAATAGAAAAGTATAATCTTGAAAATTAAAGATAATTAAGTCATCAATATATCTAAAAACAAATTTAATACTAAGAGTACAATTTTTTTCATAATAATGCAAAAATAAGTTAGCTAAGAGAGATGAATAGTTAGATCCTTGTGGTATTCCATTAATTTGAAGAAAAATATCCTTTCCATTGAAAAGATAATTACTAAAAAGACAAAAATTAATCAGAATTTCCCAATAATCAAAATCGCAACAAAGGATATTTCTAAAATCATAGTAATAATTCAAAAGGACATATTTTAGTTTAGAAAGGGGAATGCTATTGAAAAGATCCTGGAAATCAATATTATTTTTTTTAATGAAATCTAAAATCAGTCGATTATTAGTGATAATCCAAGAGAAACCTTCTTCAGTAATAAAGTTAATAATCTTATTTAAGTAGTTAGAGAAAATGGTGCCAGGATTAGTTAAATAAGTATTAGACTCACATGTGATAGTTCTAAATTTTACTGGAATTTTATGAAATTTAGGACTGATAATTANTTTAGTTAGATAAGTATTAGATCCACACGTGATAGTTCTAAATTTTACAGGAATTTTATGAAATTTAGGACTGATAATTAAATAAGGAAATTGTAAATTGCTAATTTTAATTTTTAATCTCCTATAAAAAGCTAAAATTTTTTTAATGACAATATTATTATTGAAATTACTAAGTTCAACATTTTTCTATTTCTTAATTCCGTATTTAAAAGTTCAGCATAGAATTTTTTACAGAAAATTGCATAATTATTGTTAGCTTTGTCTATGGGAGTAATTACAAAATTTTTTTGAAGTTGCTTAATTGATTGAACAATATTAGAAAATTTTATTGGATTGTTACTGTTATTTAAATTATCCTTATGATGGAAAACAAAGTTTTTAAAGTAATAATAAACGCCCCATTTCCATTCTGTTAGCATACCTAAAGGTAAAGAGAATCTATTTGATATCTTTAAACAAAAACTATTGAGATTACTATTTTATTTGTTGTAATTTTTGTAAAAAATTTTTTTGAGTGCTCCTTACACTATTGTATTAATATATTTTGCTTTGGCTATATTGATATAATATCAGAAAGCACTCTTTTTTGCGGATATAATCGTGTGGGCTGATGAGAAGATTATATCTTTTATTTTCTGGATTTTTTAAAAATTTTTTATCCTTTTTTTCCCCCAGTTGTTTGCTATTTTTATTCCCCCCCTTTTTTTTTCATTATATGTCTGCAATTTTCCTTTGTTTTATCTTCATTTTGAACCTATCTAATGAGTTCTGTTTACTTGCATCTTATGCGCAATAAATGATACTTATTGTTTTTCTTAATTTTCTTCGTGTTTTTTGTATTTTGTACATATGTTTTTGTACGTATGTTATGTATTTTGTACATATGTTTTTTGTACATATACAATACTTTGTTGCGTATTGTATATGTACGCAACAAAATAAATAAACAATATATATATAAAATTAGAGAAATATTCTTAAATTGAAAAGGAAATTCAATTGAATTCGAATGAAAAAAACATAAATGCAGTATAACTCAATTATACAGTTATTCACACAAAAGCTCCCTCATGAATGCAGACAGGGTGTCCCCTGAAGGAGTATTCATATTTCTATTCTTCTGATTCAATTTAATTTCCTAAATCAGTTTAAGTATAATTCTAAAATAGTTTTTTTAAATTATATAAACTTGTCTTCAAACAATAATTTTATAAATTATTGTTTGAAGACAAGTTTTGGGGCTCATGCTGCTTTAGCATTTTTCCAGGTTTGACTTAGATTTCGTTATAATGCTTTTATGCTAAATATACAGACTGACTTTTATCTGATTTTTATTAAAGAATATAATTGAAACTTCTGGTAAATCCCACCTCATCTGAAAACTATTCTGTTAAAAATTTGAGTGTACCTCAACACCGAAAATAGTGGTAACTACTTTACACCAAAGTGGTGCAGCGAAACACCACAAGTAGCTCTTGGTTCTTCGTGTTTCTCTAGTCAAATACCAATAATGTTTTGTTTTGGCATTTTTTTACTCTAACATATCTAACAACAAGATAACATGAAAGTCCGCAAAATAATTTTGAAGATTTTTTGATAAAGTAAGAACAGTAAGTATAGGAAACGCACATTAAGTATAGGAAACACACATTAATTCTTACAATGGTAAGTTTGTAAATCGAATATACGCATAGCACAAAGATAATAAATAGTAAGACAACTTCGAATTAGGCTTAACGGATCAAAAGCTGATGGAATTTAAATATTATAAAACTATCTAATAAAATTGGAAGATAATTGAAAATTAAAATGTAATTATCTTTATTACACAACTGAAAACATACTTACATGTTGTAACGGGGAGCTTTCGTTTCTGTGGATGTATAATAGAAGTAAACAACAAAAACTCATATTATTCCCTATTCAATTGCAAACAATTAACTGACGATATCCTAAGTACGTTAAAATTGACGTGTTTGGAAGCAATGGCGTGAATGCGTGTGCTTTTGGAGTAAGCTGTCATTCGTATAAAAAATAAAGTGCTGAGTCTTTATAATAAGTAACATTAGTTTTTTTCTTTTTCATTTATCAAAATATTTAAAAAATTATTATATATGATTTTTGAAATATTTTAATAAATATTTTTCCTTCTTGTACTCCCTGAGAAAATTTCTGCGAGTGCCCTAAATGTTGAATTTTAAATTTGAGCTAGAGTAAAAAAAAATGATGTATTACCAATAGTTGTGAAGATAGTTCCAGCGTAGAACAAAGACCCCCAAAATGTCCAACCAATGTCCTCTGAAGCAAGTGGTATTCTGCTACACTTCAACTGATCTAACTGTTTTTCGTATTCTTTTAATCTACCAAGAACTATTCGCCTCCATTCAGATAAATTTTGAGTTTGTCGTTCATATAAAAAGTTAACAGCTAAGTCTCTATAATGAGTAACACTTGTTTTTTCTTTTTCTTCAACTTCACCTTCTAACCACTGGAAAAGTAATGCGCCAACAACTGCATAAATTAATAAGAAGATCAACAATAATATATGAGAAAACCATTTTTCTGAAAAAGCTTTTATAGCTTCTAAAATCCGCACTGCAGTTGATCTTGTTCTGTCCTGAAGGTTAATGATATGCATAGGATTTATCACAACATATTGAGTTTTGTTGTGAGGCCATTCCATAGGACTCCCTGGATAGGAAGGCGGTCTCAAGAGTTTACCGTCTTTTGACATTTTCTAGCTTTTTAGATCATCTTTAACCTAAAAAGAACAAAAAAGATTCAATTAAAACTGGCAATAAAACTATCTAATCATACAAAGTAAGAAGAAGATTAACCCTTTTAGGATTGGTGGAAGGAGAAAGAAACACTTCCCTTGGTACGTACTAAGGAGTACCGACTAAGGAGTACGTATTATACGTACAAAGTAGTAAGTACACTCACTAATGCGAGATGTAATACTAGAACACCGAATTGAGATCCCGGCAGTGTGATATTGTGCCGCAGGAGTCAGAAAGGCTCGTTTTATATACGACACCACGTTTCATGAAGGGAGAACCACGTGATTACTGTCCTTGAAAGAACGCCATTCCATGAGAGAAACGTTTCGTCGCAAATTATTTTTCACCTCCATTACTAATTTAGCACTTAAAATGTAGAAAAAGTGAGTTCAGACAAACCTAGAGTAAGTCATAAAGTTTCAAATACTGAAAAGATAATTTTAAAATATCAAAATTAAAATAAATTATGAGAAAAAAACTGAGTATTATAAAATGGAGAGGTTCTCTTTTAGTAATTAGTTTGCATTTTGATTTTTTCTCCAGCAATTTAAACTTCATAGCTAACGCTAGGTTTCCATGAACTCACTTTTTCTTTATTTTTTAAATTTGTAATGGAAGTGAAACGAAATTTGCGACGAAAAGTTTCTTCCGTGATATGCCGTCCTCTTAATGGCCAAATCTACGTATGAGTCCATTAGTGTTCTTTGAAACTCTTTCACCGAAGTAGAACATTAATTTTAAATTTTATTTTATAACCGGCGTTGAACAGCTGTTCACAAGTTTTCAGGTTAATGACTATCAATGTTTAACTTTGTAGTCCTGTAATTTAAAACCCAATCTAGAAGACAGAAAAAATCCTGAATCAAACATTGGGACAAAGTCTTCATGGAGAACTTTTTTTTGATGGAACTAATCCACGTTACATGGAGAAGAAAATCACGAAAACCATCCATGGTTAGCCAGACTGCAAGAGAATTCTAAGACACCATCCCGAACAGCCTTCGCTGGGATTCGAGCCTGAGTCACCTCATTGGGAGGGAAATAAATTCTGTCACTGTTTTAAAGTATTGTATTGTCTGTCCTTCCTAATTTAAACCATAAAGATTTAGGTTTGGAACACTCATTGCCTTTACGGGTTTGAAACAACTAGTATGGATTAAATAAAACTGAATGTAAAACTAAACAGTTTTGAAACCATAAAAATGAAATATAACAGGACCTTGGTGTTAGATTATATCAGGCCTTTCGTTTGGTAATGAACATTAAAGTTAGGTTGTGGTTGAGTAGTGTTTTGTCAAGTAAACAGCAGTATCTGGCTTAATTAGTTGATCTAGTGAGGCCATCTATCGTGAAAGATGGAAATACTTGACTTTTTTATGTTAAGCAGCTTCTGGTACCACCATCTATGCGTGAATGAGAATTTCGAAATCCAACAGTCTAGGGCCACCAATTGAGAAGTTCCGGATAATGGATGCCCCAAACTCCTCACGTATTGTGAGAATGGAGGAAATATTACGTTGTCACCGCTGGTATTCGAATCCCCGTCCAGCCGGTCATAAGATTGACAGATTTGCCCGTTCGGATCAAGTACATACCCAGTTGTAATACCTAATTTGAACGAGCTCTGAAAATAGTAGCCTGAAAACTGCCTTCTGACGTTACAAGCCAGAATAAAGACTAGTCAAGTTTACTCCATTCTTTATGTTAAGAACTCCATCTTGCACGGTTAGACGAAAAATAACCACGTGACGAGAAGAGCTTATCATATCATACGCCTGAATTTCGGCTGGGCTTCATGAGTTGTTTTCACCCGGCAATGCTTGTCTGAAAGAGGGCTAGAAGAAACTGAATTGAAAATTGAGGTTTTCGTTCCTCTTGTGACGTCACGCTCCTGATGTCTGACCTCGTGTAAATGGGGAGTAAAAATCTAAATGGCTTCATAAAGTGTACCCTACACTTTTATTACTAGAAGATTGATAGGCATCCGATGATAAAAAATAAAAATGTGGATTCGTAATCATCATCATATGGCTTTGCTTCCAACTTTCGAAGACCGCGCGATTCTCATTAGCTATGGGCCTAGTTTGCTCCGATAAAACTCTGGTTGTATACTTTTAATGGGAATTCAATATGTCTTTCTCAGTAGCCATCATAACAAACGCTTCTAAATATTAATCATCCACGAAAAAGAAACCTGATAATTTTAAGTTTGGAGAACATTCTCTCACATGTAACTTGAGTCAAAGGAGTTATTAATAAGTATTTGTACACTTTATGTAATTCAATATACCGCAGGATTAAGCAATTCACATGAAAAAAATCATTAATTCGATTTATTTTTCATTTATTTATTCTTAGTTTGAGTTATTAAATGCAACCTTTTAAAAAAATGAAATTATAAACTACAGAAGTTCAAAGTAAAGAGCAAAAATTCAAATCGAAAAGCAAAAATAGAAGAGCAAATCGAAATATTTTAAAAGTTAAATCGACTTTTTAAATTTTTACCTGTAGTAAACACGCTAAAATTATTGAATTTGATAATTTTAGCGTATTTACTACCGGTAAAAATTTAAACAGTCGATTTTACTTTTAAAATAATTCAAGGTGAATTTTAAATAAAACATAATCGTATATATATTTTAAAAATTTAAATCACAAAAATTTTAAATTGAAAAATAATTCCTTGCAAATTAAAGAAAAGAGAATGAAATGATAGTCCAATATCACGCACAGGTGATGTCACATATAGGCGAAGAAAGAACAAAAACGCAAACATAGAAGCAGATGCAGAATCGAAAAACTCTCGATATTAGTTTATATGAATGTTAACACCGAGCCCCCTAATTAAAATAATCCTGGAAAAAAAGAGAATACTTGGTTTTGGTTCTGTCAAAACTAAATAAATAAATTAATAAATAAATACGTATTACTTATAAATACCAATCGAGATTGTATAGAAATACACCAAAATTTTGAAACTTAATTCCAAATGTTTAAAAATGTTTTAAAAAAAATTAAATATTTAGTCATAGGGATATTTGACTGAAAAAAATTATAATTTTCTGTGATTAGTTTTTATTTTACATTGAAAAATCCAAAAAAACTGTCGATAATAATAATTTAATTACCCCAAAACTAATTCGAAATTTAAACAAACTGGGACAAATTATTCATTTTCAGAAACTACAATAGTTTGTCTATGTAAAGATCTCCCCTAGCCATTCGTCTGGAGTAGTGGCGGTTACTATGGTTACGAGGTTTAACAATTTCAAGTTGGATCCTAATTTAAGATTGGTTTTGGCTAGGGTCGGAAAGAGAAAGTGAATCAGGAGAGAAAGAAGCTCCCCTTTTTGAAAAGCGCTATTTCTTGTTTACATAGCAGCAGACGCCTTTAGATTTCGTGGAGAGGGGAGTTCATTATATAGACAAACTATATAGTGCTTATCTTCAAAACAATCATATATCTCCTACTAATAGTTTTCGCTAAACAGAATTACGCGACGCAAAATAGCAGTTTTCGACTTTGACGTAAAATAGCTCAATTACTAATAACTACATCAACAATATTTTGACTTCAGAAATTTTTTAAAACGTTTTTCTATAACTGTGCAACATTTCATAATATTTATTTCATCAAACAGTTTTTGTGTTATGACAGAGAAAAGCACATTCGTTAAAATTTTTCTGCAATGGCGGTAACGGCAGCAGCAACTCTCTTTAATATAGAAGAAAAACATTTTTCTAGAGAAACATAAACACCCTACAAACAATTCAACTCTGAATTCAAAACATCTATAAACTTCTGTTTCACGATGAAGTTATAACGGTCGAAAGAGCCAGTTAAAATAAGGAAGGAAAATTTTTTTTCTCAGATCTTGAAGCGATTTGCAAGATGATTGTGTGTGTGTGTGTGTGTGTGTGTGTGTGTGTGTGTGTGAGAGAGAGAGAGAGAGAGAGAGAGAGAGAGAGAATTTAAATATTTATTCGATACTTTAATATCCAGTAAGAATAGATTAGGAAAAACATCAATGTTGGGGCTATCGAACATTTGTGGGGATATTAACTGGTATTTTTCACCCTTATGCTTCTTAAATTAGAAAATCTTTGCCCGGTATTCACTACACTGATGTTTTCTTAAGGTTAAGTACCACTGTTCGGTATACATTTGCCCAGTATTCCCAACAGTCAACTTTTTCCTAATCTATCCTAATAGGATATTAAAATATCAACGAATATCAAATTGCACATTTTGCAGACATCGGTCAACATAGACACACACATACATACTTCTACATACATACATACACATACATACTTCTATTAATCTTTTTATGTTATTTCTTTTCTATAAAACAAATCCTAATTAATTACTCCAATCGAAACACTTTCTCACACTTTTAAATTCACATTCTGTCCCTCAATCTATTTTTGGTTCAAGTATGCATTAGTTAAAAGCAAGATATTTTCCCCTTTGCTTTTTGTGGAAATCACGCGACTTAATACTAATTTCTACGATAACCAATAGTAATTTCTAAGATATCCCTCTTTTCCCTAAATAGAGACATTTTCAGATTTTTTGCAAGATCGCAATTGAAAGCAAATTAATTTTATTTGATCATTTTCAAAAGGATAAGGAGCGAAAAGTGAAGTTTACTCCATCGACGATCAGTCTTTCTGGTTGAGAAAATCTTGCAAAAAATCCGAAAATGTCTCTATTTAGGGAAAAGAGGGAAATCTTAGAAATTACTATTGGCTTATGCAATAGGTCGTGCGATTCACACAAAGAGTAAAGAGATAAATGTCTTTACTTTTAATTATGCATACTTGAGCCAAAAATAGATTTAAGAACAGGATGTGGCTTTTTATAAGTATGACAAAATGTTTCGATTGGAATAATTAATTAGGATTTGTTTTACAGAAAAGAAATAACATAAAAAGATTAATAGAAGCATTTTTTGTTACAGCTGCAGGGTATTTATAA